ATCAACTTTCTCTGCCAACTGAAAGATTAACTTTTTCAGAGAACTCCAGTTTGTCCAGGCCACGAGGTCACCCCTTGTTTTATTAACTGTGACTAGGGAGGGGAAGCTGAGAGATGTGGTAGAAACATGGACACCCCGTGTACCATATCACAGTACTCTGGGTTCTACCCTAAACAGCTCTGGAAAATGTTGCAAATTCCCAAAAGGACTTCTTTGGCAATCATTTCCAGGCACTCTTTGGCCTACTCAAGCAGGTAAAATTGGCACCTAGTTTCCTACCTGAGGGTGTCCGTGAGTCTGCAGTGTGGCTCTGCAGGGGCAACACGAATACATGGGATCAGGGACAGTGCTGCTGGTCTATCCTCGACTATGGGCATAGCTACTAGTGAATGCGCTTTGCCTTCACATCTGTATATACTTCCAGGCTCTACATAGTTTGCACAATTGCCTCAGAAGGTCTGGTAGTTGGAACATATGCCACCCACACGATATCCTTGCACTAGCTTTCCCTCTTTTCCTGTTTGATACCTCCTGTCTGCACGCCTACTCCTTGGAATCACATTTCCAAATAAATTGCCTATATGCAAGCTCTTATTTCAGCTCAGATCTGGGAAGAATGCAGAGCAAGGCAGATTCCTAGAATCTTGTATGAGCAGGTTCCATAAAAATTGTCTAATCCACTTTATTTTGAATGAGTGTGTTATTTCTAAGATAGCAATTACATTGGAGACTGTCTCTAAGTAAAAAGTGATGTAGGATTAGTCTCTATTTGATTTACTAGAACACTGACTGCTAGAAATGGTTCTGTCCTTAACAAGAATAGCCAGCATCGATGAGGGTATAGGTGCTAATCGTTCTCTCCTTTCTTGTAGTATCAATAGCCAAAGGGAACAGGAGACTCTCACTCAAAAAGTACACTTCTTTCTATGGTCTAGAGATGAGAGCTCATAACAAAGGGCCTCTCAAGAGGGAAGAAAAATCAATGTATTTATAATATCATTTATAGTGAATTCTACTCTTGTCTACAGCCCACACTTTCTCAAGGAAATGCCATTCAGAAACTGGGAGATCAATTCTTGGAATGTCGATTACACAGCAGACAGTCACACCACAAACAGCCCTGGCCAACACCCCTCTTTTTCACCCATACAGCGACAGCCTGGAAGAGGAGGTGCCACCCCATTCATATGCTCTTGTCCTGGACTGCAGGTCTGTGTGTGCCATGAGCCCCACTTCCCCCGCAGAGCAGTGCCTGGGGGTTAGGGGCAGGGTTTAGTGGACAGGGGAGCTATGGAACACAGAAGGCAAGTGGCTTCTATGGCTTTGACTTGTACCTAGAGACTTGTGTGGAAACTTGCAAGTTTCAAGATACATGGAAAGAAACATGTGCAGACTCGGGGCTGATAGACATGGAGGCAGGCTGTTCTTGCCAGAGACAAGTTTTGTTAAGAATGTCCTTCCTCCTCTGTTCTCTCTTTGTACATTGAGAGCATACTTTCTTTGCTTTTATGAGCAGACAGCTAGATCCCTTTTAGAGTATGTACCCCTTCAAAGTTTGGGGTCCTTGGGTATGTGCTAACTTGTCTTTGTCATTCTGATTATTCAAAATTACAAATGTGGGCACTACAACTATATGTCTAGCCTCCCAGGGTCTTCTGCAATCTCCTCTGATCAAGTTAAACCTCAGTTTCTCTACCCAAACCCTACCAATTTTTCCCAAGCTCCCAACTGGATCTTTTATTTTATGGGCTTACTATAACTTTTATTCTTTTGTTCTTGTTTTTGTGTCACTTATGCTACCCTACTTGATATTACAGCTAATTTATTAGTCTTGAGCCCCAATTGCAACTCTCCCTTCATCTATTCTATGCATTGAGAGTAGATCCCAAGTTTCATTTGGTAGAATCTAAGCTGTACAGCACAAAACACCTATAAAAGTCACCGCTGCACCTAGTGCCCAGAGCACAACTGGTCCAAATGCTTCACAAATTTGGTGAATGAATGGTTTTATCCTTAAATTTCCACTAGGTTCAGATCTATACTTTGTACATAACTGATCCTTGTAAACACTTACTGAATCAAACTTATCCAACACTGAACTGCTTGGCTCAAAGACATAAAGTCCAGTATTTTATGAATTTGATTTATAGGCTGCTAAGAAAGAAGAAATTTCTGAAACAGTTTTCTGACCTTTTAAAACTACATAATAAAGACATGTCTTCCTGAGATGGGGCTTTTTCCTTCATGAACTTCCCTAATGACGCCTAAGCCATATCACCTGATACCAGGAGCAAGAACTGTACATTTTAAACTGAAAAAAAAAATCTGAAGAAATGCAATCTCCTTATTCTAAAAGTGAAGGCAGTAAGGTTTAAATAGTCATGCTGCCTTATAACTCAATTCTTGTGCCTTGCATTTCAGTGAGTATAGACAACAGAAAGCCTGAGAAAAAATCATGATGGGAAGACAGAACCTGATTATCAAAATAAATGTATAGTTATTATTCACATTGTACAAGAAATACAAAATCATCCCTTCAGTATCTTTACTCTAGGCATTAAAGAATGAAATCATGACTACAGGTTTATTATGTTCTGTTCTGACCAAATATATCAACTCAACACACAGTGAAGGTTGGAAAGAGCTACTTAGAAAAATACAAGGACATTTTTGAAATATTATCAATTTCATAGGCTCAGTTGTTTATTGCTATTTGGGAAAAACTTTACTTCATTCCTCTCTCAGTACTACTATGTTAAAAGCCAACATACTGTTTTCTTCTTATTTTCACTTAAATACATGTAAACACACATACACATATACACAAATATACACACACTATCTGTAATACATAATATTCATATACAATATACTAATTTGGTTAGTTATTTCTAGTCTATTTAGATGAAATAAATTGGAGATTTTGCAATTTCATACACAAAATCTCTGAAATATCTTAAATCTTGATTTATGCCCAATTCATGCATTTACCTAATAGACAAACACTAAGTGTCTTACGATAGCCCTATTCTAAATACCAGAGGAAAGAAAGGCAAAACAAATGGCTATCCCTCTGCTATGAAGGTATGCTTTCGATTGGGAGACAAAGAAGAAAGGAGGGAGAGAGAAAGGGAAGGAAAGCAAGAGAAGATTCCACACAGTGACAAGCACAGTGAATAGAACATTTCAATAGGATACACAACTATGAATATACAGAAGCTGAAAATAACTATTTCAGGGAAATCACTTCTGAGGAGGTTATACTGGATGCCAGCTCTGAAAGACGAGAAGAAACCAATGATGTATGTGATCTGGCCTACTGAGGAACAGTAAGGGGCATAGCAGGTAAAGAGAAAGGTGCAGGGGACCGGGGAGGGGGAGGGGACAGATAATGCCAGTCTTCTAGGTTTTGGTATGTAGATATTTATTCAAGTGGATTACTGTTGGAAGGTTTTAATCCAGGCAGTGAAATGACCTTATCACTGATTTAAAAATTCAGTTTGGGTGGATGGGAGAGGGGTAGGATATTAAGCAGAGACAAGCAAGGAGTCCTGTGTAATAGAAAGAGAAGTAGACACAGTCAAGTAGCATTTTGGGGAGTAAGAACTAGGGAATGTTCATTTTTTTTTTGGCTTGGAAAGACTGGAAATTGGTAAAGACTGGAAATTTATTAGGTGGGGAAAATTGGGAACAAATGGCTACTGGGGTATAATCATACTTCTGCTTTGGAAGTACTAAAACAATCAAGTTAAGGTAAAAGCAGATTAATGTATTCATCCTGATTTGAGAAAAAAGTCAAGGTGTATCCAGATTTGATACACATATTTTTAATAATGTTTAAGAGCCTCCTTTGTGACAAATTAATGATAGTGATTAATCTAGACATCAATAATCAAAATTCCAATGTGACTGAGTAGAATTTTAATATAGTTAGTATACTATTTTATACACATCATTTATATATTGATTATATATACTTAATTATAAAAAGAGAACTAATTTTATACTTATTAGTATAGAGGTATGATTTGAAGCCACAGATAACCAAAGGAGATAATGTGGGCATGAAAGGAGGAGGCTGGAGATACCCAAATATTTAACTACTAGGCAAAGGAGAAGGAGGCAGCCAATAAACCTCAAAAATGAGCAACCAGAGGCCCTCCCTGGTGGCACAGCGGGTTAAAGCACAGCATTAAGAAGCTTAAGCCACTTTCGCATGAGTTCGATTCCCGACAGCCCCGGAGGAGATCCACATGGGGTGGCAGACCTCTCCTGACCCCCGCTGTTCCCCTCAGCAGTGTACTTTGTAGATCTGCCTGTTCTGCTCCCCACTCTGTCTCTGGTGAATCCTCTCACCCTCCACATCTCTGGCTTGTACCCCAGTTCTGTATGAATAAATAAAATCTTTATGAAAAAAAAAAAAAAAAGAGCAACCAGAAAGAAAGAGGAATACAAAGAGCACATGTGATTCCAAATATCATGTGAAGAAAACATTTACTAAGAAGTGATTGTCAAAAATTACTGAGAGGCTTAGGAAAATGAGGACTGGGAATGGACTAATCATTGGCTATCAAAACATGGTGGTCATTGTTATCTTTGAGCAGTAAGGAGGAAATGGATGTTTAACTGGAAAGAAGAGTTAGAGGCTAGAAAGTAGAAAGGAAGACTATTAAGAAAAACTGTGCCATGTGTTACTGATGATATCTAAGCAAATCCAGCAAGGTCTTCATCTTCACGGAGGGCATTTGTATAGGAAATGTAAATATTTTATCGATAGTTTCTGAAAATTATGCCTTTTGACACAGAGGGAGTTATGCTTACATTAATAAATACAAAGATCTGTTACTATAGTAAAGAAAAAAATAAAAATAAATACATCTAATAAGAACACAAAATCTTAAATTATCAAAATTTTTATCATCAGATTTTCAGAATGTTTGTGTACAAACTAGAAAGATTTTATACATTGTTTCTCCTATTAAAATGCTTAACCTCATTGTTCAGAGTATGACTAAAAAAGAACTGTGGACATTTTCTTTGTCCTAGTTCCAATATCTTCCCAGACAGGATGTTAGACAACTACTGCATAGAATATGTGTGAACTGATTAAGATAAATGTGTCCTTTGCAACAAAAACTCTGAGATTTTATGTAATTATAGGCTCGCTGAGTGAATAGTTTAGAATAATGTACCACTGTCATCAAATCATATCTTCATATACATATGTAATCCATTTTGCACAATGGTTTCAACTCAGTGTATATGTAATTAAATTGTAAGGTGCAGTAATAGCTGCTCCTGAATAGAACATTTGCTATTTCAGTTTAAAGAAATGAATAGAAAACACAGTCTAGTGAACATCAAAGTCTATTTTTAAGACAGTTAAATCTCATCAAAGAGGTCTTCTGTACTGCTGTTTCTTAGCGTTTCTAAAGACATGTTTTCAGCTGAGCTGTGCGTTTTCAATGTCTCAGGTACTGGAGGATCAAGCCTAAAGTAAAAAAAAAAAAAGAATCAAGATATTTTATTTAAAAATTCCATATGGAGTAAAAGAAAACAAGGAAATAAGAAAATAAAAGTTTAATCCTGTTTCAGAGTTGTTTTAGAGATGTATTGCCGATGATATGCTAACATAAAGAAAGAGATCGAGGGAATTTAATTTCTTTAACTGCTTTAGGATTAATCTATCTATTCTAAAGTTAATAAAAAATCAAGGGCCTACAACACCACTCATAATTAAAGTCAAGAAATACAATATCTTGTGTGATACTAATATTTTTATTGAAGACATAATCTCTTCAAGCCATTTGTTAGTGATTCCATTTCACTTAAATTTCACCTATTAATAAGCAGAAAATCCTGATCACAAATGTCCTTTAGTGGCTATTTGACTGTGTGTATATAACCAATAATGACCTCACATTTTGGCAGTTGATGAAATGCTACTGGTTCACACTCATCTACAGAAATCTATATATCTCATTTGGCAAATGAAATTTTGTTGCATTTCCTATATATTTATGGAAATGTTTTGTTTGAGTCCTTGGACAAAAGATAAGATTGTGGACTATTAATTGGCCTTGGGAAGGGCAAACTGAGCTCAATCAGAAATACAGCTCTGGAACACATGTTTATACCTTGGTACAAACCTTGTCAGTATTTCTCTGGGGAGCCTAAATAGAACAAGCTCAATATTGACAAATAGAGGTAGCTTCTGGGACATGACAATTAGGTTGCGGTGATCCAGTGATCAGAAACACTACCATAATTCCAGCAGCAAAGAAAGATGAGGAATAACAGCAGCCGGGAATAGCCTTAAGAGAAAGGGACTTGATGCCAAGTCCCTTTAAATCTGACTCTATTTCCTATTAGCTGTGTGACTTTAAGTGAACCTTTAAAACCTACATGGACACTTACTCTCTCACTTTTAAAAGTGAGATCATCATTCTGCCTCACAGATGATCCAGATTAAAAGAGAAAATGTAAAAAGCTTGTGAATTTCTACAAAATATTTGGAAAATAACATTACTAACTGCTAAAACTACATAAATTACATAGAAGCTCCATTTAATTAAAAAGAAAGAAAACTCCCCAAACATCAGCATTTTGAAAACACGTACACTTGTAGTGTACTTAGTCACACAAATTATTGAAAATGAATCCATCACAGGGTCCTTGCCTCTTGAGTGCATGCATACAATGAACCATGGTTGGTTGTTACTAGAGGTGAGACATGTTCAGTCTTATTCTGACAAACAAGGTTCAGACAACATGAGCCTCATAGGAATGCTGAGGTGTGAGGCAGTAATGCATTGTGAAGATGACAAGTGATTCCTTCTAGAGGCTTTGATGTTAAAATTAACATAAAATGAAAAGAGTAAATTTAAAACTATGTATGTAATAGTAACCTCCCCAAAGTTTAAATCATTGTCAAGGTAGTACTTGACAATGCTTATTATAAGACTTCTTGTAAATCTGAAAATTAAAAAGAATAAAACAAAAATAAATATTATCCTAATTTGCATTATTTGTACTTTTGAATTTTTTTTACAAAAATGGGATCACTTTTCCTATATAATTTTTTATTTTTATAACTTAAAAAATATATAATATTTTTACATCATTTTGTGCCTTTTTTCATCTCAGTTGTAATTCCCGTGGGTTTCCCACCACCAAATCACTCGTGTGCCATCACCATAGTAAAATGGACTTCCCTCCCACCCATTTTTTATCTCATTCTCCACTCCACAATGTCTCTGGTATATAGTTGTTCATTATTATTATTATTTTCTTCCCTGATCCTTTATACATCTGCTGTGAAATAAGGTGAAATAACTTTATGAAACTTAAAGTTTCTTTTAGCCCAGTAAAAGTCTATACATTAGTTAAGGTTCACTTTAAGTTCTGAATCTCCCTTATAGACAGTTAAAAAAAGTCTCCACATTCAGGGCTCTCCCTGGTGGCGCAATGGGTTAAAGCACCACATTATGGGGCTCTCCAAAGCCACTGCAGCAGGAAAGCCCCCACCAGGAAGTTGACCCATATGGCGTGGTATACCTTTCCTGACCCACCTGCTGCTCCTCTCCTCTCATCCATCTGCCTGTTCTGCTCTCCACTCTGTCTCTGGTGAATCTTCTCACCCATCACTCCTTTGGCCTGTACCCCAGTTCTGTATCCATAAATAACTAAGTCTTTTTTTTAAAAAAGAAAGTCTCCACATTCAGGATGAGTTTTGTATTTTAGAGTCACTAATGTTTACATTTGATATTTCAATATGTTGTTTTATCATCTGATCAATATTTGTTAAGTATGTAATACCAATAGTTCACTGTGTTAGGGAAATACAGTAAATAGATAAAAGTAGGCACATAATTCCTTCCTTAGGAAGCTATCAATTAAACTTTTCAGTTCTCATTTTTTTTCAAATGTGCCTTTTCATCCTAAGGTTCGTATAAGTTGATTGAAAACAAGGTCTATGTAAGACAATTTGTTCAGAGTGCTTTATCACCTTAGGAACTTCCATTAGCATTATATAATATTTAGGACTCAGGTGAATTGTCAGATAGGTTTATAGACTTTGTGGTTCAACAGGAGGAACTGTGAATCCAGGATTAGGAGATCTTGATTTATGCTCTGTCAACTGAGATTTTGTTCAGGAGATTGTACCTTCTGGACTTTAGTTTCTTAATTTTATTTGTACAAGGTTAGGATTACTATAATTGATTCTGAAGTTCTTTTGATCCCTGAATTTTAAGAGTTATGATCAAATGGTTGAACACAGATTATTTTGCAAAATACAGGTTCTCAATAAAAATCTGTGGCATAAATGAACAATATGTGTAAGGAGGAAAGGCTAATGACACAATAAGAAATTGTCTTTTAGTTAAAAACTAAATTAAAAGGACTTTTTTCAATAAAGAGGATGAAATGAAACTGCTCCAGGTGATGACAGCCTTACTAAAAGAGGACTTATGTTCTCAATAATATAATTGTAGAGTTCTATTAGCTTGATTTCACTCTGTATTACATCACATACACAAAAAATTACACCTTGAATCAAAACTGTACTACCAACATGTAATTAACAATGAATAGTGTACTACCATGTAATTAACAATGAGTAGTTACATCAAGAGTCAGATTTGTCAAAAGAAAATCTCATCCTGAGATAGTTTCTTGAAAACAAAAATGTCAGAATCAATCATTGACGTCTCTAAATTTCTGGAAACTGAATTATCAACATTTAAAAAAATATTTTTTCCCACTTATTGGTTCATTTGTCAAGCTATTTTCTCAGTCAAGTTTAAAATGCTATTGCTGGAGCTGAAAAAAACTTTTCTCATTCAAATGAGAAGCATTAGTATTGTTTGGAATGAATTACTTGAATTTTGTAACACAGTTTGAGGATAATATTTCTTACCATGTCAAGGTAGTGACTTGAACAAAATGAGTACAAGAAGTATAATAATCGATGTCTCTGTGACCTGGAAACTCCTACTCATTTGACAGGATGGTGATATAAAACAGTTGGCTGTTGGTATCATGTTTGAAATCCAAACTTAAAAATAAATTGTTACGTGGCCTATGTCTCCAGTTACACAAAACAAAATTAAATGATCATTAAAAAACAACTAAATCAAAGAATCAAGATACTTGCTATTGCTAAGTAATACTAGTGACTTCACTATGGCATAAACTCACCTATAGAAACATCTTTTAGATAGAAAAGTTTAAAAAAATTGTTTAAAGAGTTGATATCACCAAAGTTACCATGTATTTTCAAAATAAGTTTTAGTATTTAAAAAATTGATCTCAGAATAAATGGGAACAGTAAGGACAACTTCCTAGTTGACCTTATAAAAACCAAAAGTCACGGGGATTTAGTAAAACAAGTGTTGAACATTGTCCAGAATTCAGTAGGCCTAGTTGGCATTTCATTGGCCTGGGAAAATGAAAGAAGAGAAGTTGAAATTATGCTTCTGGCAATAAAATGGCAAGTAAGAGAAACTGTGCCAGTTATTTTCAATTAGATTCTCCAGATACCTTTTCTGAGAAATATTACTATGAGGCTTAAATGTATCAAAAACAAGAAGAAATGGGAATATGCTTTTCAAATAAGTAATTTTCAAAAAAGCACAAAAAATAGAATAATGAAGAGTGAATATATTTAATGTTCAAAAGTACTTAGATATTTTATAGGTGTTAGGAAAATATGCTAATTCTAAATAAGTCATATTAAAAATTAAGATAAATGTATCCATAATTCACACGAATGATTCAATTTCAGAGTTATATGTTGGGAAATTTTGTGATGCTGCATAGTGTTGTAAACTCATAAACATGAAAAAATACACTACTAAATGGGAGAAAATATGAACACTTCATGCATCTGACAAGGCACCAGTTATTCAAGACCTGTGGAGAACTAAATAACAAACTTTTCAAAAAAAAAAAAAAAAAAAAAACAATTTAGCAGATGAACTACTTCTCCAGATAAGATAAACAGAGCAAAAAGACACATGAAAATGTGTTCATCACTTATTATCTGGGAAATACAAATAAAAATCATGTGATGATATCACATATGGGTCATATGAAGAAGTTCAGAAACAAGTGTTGGTGAGGATGTGGAGAGAAAGAAACCCTACACTGTTGGTAGGAACATGAACTGATGCAGTCTCTTTGGAAAAGGGAGTATGGAGGTTCCTCAAAAAACAGATCTACCACATGACTCAGCAATTCTACTAGTAGGTATCTACCTGCATATTCAAAAACACAATTTTGAAGGGATATATGTACCCCTATGTGCATTGCAGTCCTAGCAGACAGGTTATAGGAATGATCTAAATGTCTAAGGACAGATAAATGGATCAAGAAAACATGGTATAAATATACACTGCAATATTATTCAGCTATGTTAAAAAAAAAACAAAAACTCTTGCTATTTGAGACAACGTGAATGAAAATGGAAGGGCTTATAATAAGTGAAAT